TATTATTATTATTATTATGTATGTATTATGTCTGCCCCGGTAATTATCGTGCAGCCCTAGTTAAAAGGCTTTCTGAAAATTTAATTACGATATGAACCTGAAAATTAGCAAAATATAGCCAATTTAAACAAAAGGATTGATTAAGATGCAAGAGAGAAATTATATTTCTAAACAGCTTAACAACTAAAACTTTGCAATTTTAGATCTACTTTTTTTTTTTACCTTTTGAACCCATACAGAGGGTTTTGTTTTCCCAGGCAGTGGCTGTGGCAGATGAATGCAAGCCCCATTACACAGAACAGAGGGACTCTCATCATGCATGTGGTTATCACCGTGTGTTGTTGTAGTTTGGCCTGCAAATGTGAAACAGAGGTGGTCAGCAATATGCTGTGGGTAAAGAGGTATGGTAAACTGCATGAGAGATCACCTGTAGCACCTGTTGTCCTTGTTCAGCTTGGTTGAGGAATCGGTATAGAGGAGGTGAAGGTAGTATCCCTACTGGACCTCACTCCTTCAGAACTGCAATTTATGCCTTGACAGGTCCTCCCCGTGGGTAAGATTGCTCAAAAGTATGCCTGGAGCAACAATCTGAAAAAAGCACGAGTGTTAACCGACTGCCAAGGTGATGTAACACCAAACCCAGCACAGACAGTAGCACAGCAGGCTCAAACAATGCATTTTATTTATTTTGTAGGGATGGGAACTGATAGTATTGAACCAACATTATTATTGACTCTGCTTATCAGTACGATTCTTTGTTGATTCCCTTATTCTTATTGATTCCTGATCAATTTTGTCTGTCAGACTGCCAGAAAAACATGGCAGCATTGATAAAAGGTATTAATAATCTCAGCAGCGTACGATTCTGATGGATCGTGAAATTTGAATTGGTTCTCAACTGGAACTGTTTCTTAATTACCATCCCTATTTACATACATCACGATAGTCTAAGTTACATTGTTATATTAACACTAAGAAAGCAAATATCACACTGCAACCTTTTCAAGAAGGTTGCTGCACAAATGAAAGAAGGAGGCTGTGTCTACCAGTGTAAAACGTATCTACTTTTACTGCAGCTGCTCATGCTGTTCCACATTTACCACAGGAACAAACTGACTGCAGTTTGAAAAGGCGAAAAATTCCTCTGTAGGAGACACATATGGTTTACTGGTACCATGTTGGTTTCGGTGGATTCAATATGCTATGTCATTAAAATTACACAATTCAATTCTGCTAGCTCCCTCCCTCTCAACAAATTTAGAAAATGCAATGCAAATTATATTCAGACGTAAGTATACACAGTTTTTCTGGCATGGACCCTTTGTTTTAGTTTTTTTGTTAAGTTGAAATTTTTTTGTTGAAGTTGAAACCGAACTATTTGCCTGATTTTCAGGTAGCCTAATAGAAGCTGTCAATCAAAGAAGATTGCTGTGGGTGTGATCGTGTTGAAAATGACCCTTGGGTTACGCCCCAAAATTGTCAAAAGGTCGGGTCGGTTCACACAAGTAGAAGTCAACTCAAAGGGCTGACTAATACCTGTGAACTTTCCATTCATTGTCTATGTAAGCAGCCGTGCAATGTATTTTGGTAGCGCCACGGTACGTTTTAAGAGAAACTACAGTGCCGGCAAAAACACTAAAGCCCCTATCAGTAGAAACCATTAGGCCCAACAAATAAAGTCAGAACTGTTTGTCTTGCTTTATTGTGATGAATAACTAAATAGCCAATAATGGTCAGAGGTCACCAATTGTGTGAGGAGTAGGAGAAAAGAAATATCATTAGTAGTGTAAGTAATTAAAGTTGGCAGGGAGTGATACGTAAGTAACAATATTACTTTTGAAAAGAGTAATGAATAATGTTTAAGGTAACTAGCCCAACACTACTCTCTACCCACCTTGATGCTTCCAGGTTTGCATTGTGCAAGCTACTGTGTGCCACATTTACCTTGAAACCCACAGGATGCTTATAAATGGCAAAGGAATAATAATTGAGACGTTGAGCTTGCTTGGTGACTCATTGCTGTTCACAGAGTAAGGTGGAAGAAGAGGGAGAGGAGGGGTGTGAATGGGCAGTGCTGTGTTGACATCACAGCCCTCTGTGGAGGAAACTATGGAAACAGGGCTCATCCCACTCATGGACCACAGCACGTATTCAACCAGAAAACAAATTAGGGTTTAAGATTTAACATTTACACATTTATGTACGTATACAGCCACCTAAACCCTAATATATAACCGCTTTCTTGTTCCAGCATTATGGTAGACACGGCTGTTTCATTTTCGAAATAACCGCTGGCCAATGTCAATAACAGCAGAGATGTAACGTTAGCAAATACTGGGATGAGTTAGAAAATAAACATCTGCAGAGGTTTGGGTGGAAATAAACGTAAACGTAAACACAATATACTTAATTTCATGTTCAAAATAAATGATGCATTTTTAATTTTTTTTATCACGCATAGACACCATTACGAATAAACAGATGTCACGCCTGAACTTAACAGGAAGCGAAGAAAAAAAGCCATCTTTGCACTTAAGTTAGCTATTAGGGGTATAAACATAGCAGACCCCTTTATCTAAGCAAGCTAACTGTAAAGATAAAAAGCAGCTGCAGTTTCGTTGTAACTTAGTCATTCCTTAAGTAGCTAAGGAGGGTAATTGTTTGTACATGAGCTAACATTAGCTATCTTGTGCGTTGGTGTGTGTTTTTACAGGTTAATCGAATTAGAGCTGTGGTCAGTTTGACAGAGGGTGTCTGACGGGTAGCTTACCTTAGCCTGCGACTTAGCTCGACGGGACAGTTTAAAGAAATGTCCTTTGCAGTTTGATAAAAAAAAATAATAATGGTAACATTACCTGCTCGCTCCTGTTAGACGTCTTTCAGTCGACTGTATTGGCGTGAAAACCTGTGGTGTACCATTGGTAAGAATCAGTAACAACCACACTTCCACTTTTTTTCAGAATAAAGTCTTCATCTTTACAAACTGTAAGGTTTGTGGGTTATTCAGAGGTCTGGAAGTGGGCGGTGATATTAATGTAAATATTCTCACAAATGGGGATGATACTGTGGCGCTTTTACTAAGTCAATAATTGAGTTGTGTAAATATGATGCTTTTATTTTGTAACTCTTACAGGAAGTTTTTCTTCTGGATCCGACTGGTGGAGTTCGTGCCATATGACATGTTCTATGCTATATCTTACTAGCAGTAGACAGGTTGTTATTGTGTCTGCTGAATTGTGACAAACACCATGTGAACCCGTGTTGCGGCAGGTATGTTAGTAAATTACACTAAATAATGATAACGTAGTTATTTCTCTGTGTTGTTGTAACGTTACATCGACTGGGGGTTAGCCTGCTATGCCTGCCTGTCTTTAACATAGAGTTACAGAACTGGTCGTAAAACGTCAGACGCATCTTATCCACAACCGTCATACTACGTATAGTTCTACATAAGTGTGTGTTCTCTTTCATTATGCCTTTCAGACATCTGTGGTAGTTCTATTGTGTAGTACTATTCATGCAGCCGCTGTAAACATTCGGGGCTTAAAGGGACATTTCACCCGTGGAAACATTAATATTTATTGAAATTGGGTTATATATGTAGTCGAAATGTAACATAAATTTTGAATTTGGTGCCTATTTGACCGAGAAAAGAGTGTTTGTAGTCTCACCCCCTCTACAAAGATATGAGACTTCCT